TCTCTCGGTTTCTTCTCCTTTTGATTTTGTTACTTCGGTAAGCGGGCACGGAGTGGTTGGTCGCGGAGCGGAGACGCGCTTCCTCGAAATCTCGTATCAATTACCGGGCGTATCGTGTAAGGATAACAGCTGCTGGTACGATTATGAACTTGTTAATGGTCCGTGTTCGACGATAGCCACGTCGCTGATATACACGGGAGACACCCACCATATAATTACACGTTGCGTTACATCTTTTTGGTGGCGGCGAGGTGACGCCGGGCTGTGTGTACACGATACGATCGCGCCCCGTCTATTTTGTCCAATTAAATATCGCGTCCGCTGCTAAGAAACGCATCGATCGCACGCACAAGTGCAGTAAATTGAAACTTAGGATAATAGAAACTCATATATAACTGCGTATAATTCATAGGCATTACGCGGTAATGAAGCCGGCCGCTCTATTCTTGCGAGATCGTTATAAAACTGCCAGCTCGCAGAAATTTTATCATCTTGCGGACTTGGCCCGTTATCGAGCAGCTCGATAAAGCCGTGTATTAACCACCATTATAATACAGCCAGTTGGTTGGAGCCAGAGTCAGACAACGAGGAAAGAAGTTAGTACGTATTCTGTAATTCAACGAGGATGCAATTTATCTCATTGCCTGTGTAGAGAATCGTGTCAGTACGACAAAATAAAACAACAAGGAGAAGAAAGAAAGCGGGGAAAGGGGAAAAGAGAAGGAAAGGGGAGGGAAGAGAGGAATTGGCACGATAAGGAATTTTGCATATAATCTAGTCGAAGCGTATCCATCAGCGACGAGGTGCCAAGTACGCTCTCGACGATGCTCGGTCAGCTGTGAAAATATTTCTGTTCCCAGTGGCAAAAAGGGCCGGCACGATGCACGATATATACAAGCCGGTTAAAGCAAAGAACGCGTGCGATTCGGCCGACCAACAGGTGCTTTATACGTGCCTGTCCGGCAAGAAGGATCGAGGAGAATCGTCCTGGGGTCCCCCGAGCGACTTACAGGAACCTTTTACACTCTTGATGTAACCCTGTATATACGTGTACGTACGCGAGGACCAGTCACTGTGACTCCCAGGCGGCGAGAATCCACGCGTGTCTTCGACCGTTTATTGGACTTCGAACACCTCTTGTCTTGCCCGCCTCGTACGTGGCGCAACGTGCGCGAGGATTCGTTCGTACACGTGTAATTACTTCGGACAAAGCGTTCCCGTAAAAAGCCACGCGAGCCATATATATCCTCGCTGACGCCGTTCCTGCAACCCGGCCTGAAAGTGAGGCCACGGTTCACCTCGTGGAATTCGATGCAGATTTACGATCCTGTCCAACACTACTCCGTTCGACGCACGTCTTTTCTACCCTCCCTTGTTTTTTGAAAATTCAGTATACACACGTGTGAATATTTTAATTTATTGCCATATAATGTTTTACGCAGAGATCGAGTCAATGCCATAACGTATTAGAAGAAATCGACAGATTTCCTTTTAGAGTTTAGTCGTAACGTAGGTTCAAGTACGAGAATAGAGTTAAAGCAGCATCTTCTTAAAAGATGAAATTCTCTTCCTTCGTGAAATACTCTCCCTTTGTTGAAAATTCAGCGTATGATATCTTCAATGCATAAACGTGGATTATGATTTTTCCAATTTCAATATTCTTCAGAAATATGCTGGTTCAAATTATTCGTGTCGTGGCGCGTTGCTTCGCCGGCTTAGCCGATTTCATGAATCTGCATTTCCATGGCATTCCTGTTTCCGGCTAGAGCAACTGGAATAAGGCACTTGGGTCGCCGAGAGACGAAGGAAATCGTCACAAAGGATGTTGGGCATCGGCTAGTGAAACGGATTTAATCGAGGTGTATGCCATTGCTTCGGTGGCACCAGCCGTGCTGGTACCCAGCGAGTCTCCTCGCCAGGTGTGCTGAAATCACCAGCAACGACACAGACACCAACATCAACAACAGGGACATCAGCTGCGGCAGTACCAGGAGCAGCAGCTCGCTAACGACCCCGTAGAACATGGATGAGGGTGGTTGAAGGGGGGAATCATGGGTGGGTTAAACTCAAGCTTAAATATCAATCAGCGGAAGCAAGAGCAAAGAAAACAGGAAGAGGACGAGAGACTCTTGGTTGCGAAGGTAATGCAAGAGGGAGAAGGAAGAACGGAGACGGAAAGATAAGGAGAAAGAGAAAGAGAAAACGAGGTAAAGGAGAACGCGACAGTTAGTAAGACAAAGCTGGTGTGTGATTTGTGTGCCTGTGTGTCGGGACCCTCTTCGCGGGTGTTTAATTAGCAGCTTGGCAAACCAGACGCCATATACTCAGAACTCAATCAGATCCCTTCATAAGCGCACCTCTCTCTCCGAGTCTCGTATACATAATGTACCGACGTTCGGTGTTTCGAGGTATGCCGAGTGAGAGATGTCCCGCCACGATCAATGGAAAGAGACCAACACACGTTGCAGGTAATTAAACAGCATTATTGGCGGTTGATCGAAAATTAAGCATTTAATTTATTACGTTGAAATATTGTTCAATGGGATATTATTAAATAATAATCGATCGACGTATCAAAGTGTAATTATAGAAATTCAGGATATCGTTCCGTTCGTAACGTTGTAGTCTTTTCTATCTTATAAAAGGGCATTTGAGAGGTTGGAAGACGTTCAAAAAGTATATAACAAATTGATTCGAGAAACTGAAACTCAAACACGGTACCCGAGTCCGCCTGTAAGGCGATACACCTAAGAGGTACGAGGTTAGTATCCTTTGTGGGTGTTTAATTAGCAGCTTGGCTAACCAGATGCCATTTACTCAGAACTCAATCAGATCCTTCATAAGTCCCGGTCTCAGGTTCTCGTATGCATAATGCACCGACGCCTGGCGATCGCCGTGGTCCAAGATGAGCAACACGAACGAAAGAATAATTAAATTCCGGTATTGCGCTTCGAAGGAGCTTATACTTGTTCCTGCTCGGTGCTCGTGCGTACCGTTTTAACAATGTATCTTTTCAACGCTCGTCATAACGAGAAACAAGATTTACTTCATGTTTTCACGCAATACGACAAATAAGAAAAAGAAAGAACGAAGAATAAATCGAAGGTGGAACGCGTGGAAGAGAGGCGATAAATTTTTGCGCCTCGAAATGACAAATACGATACAGAAGAGGACAGTGCGAGGATGTGCTATCGGTCGGTGGAGGCACGTGAAACTTCATCTAACCGAGGTGACCATTCGAAATCGTTTTATCGTCGATCGTCGGTTTCAGGGCGTAATTACCATTTCAAATGCTCACCTCTGCTCACCTGAGCCCACTTGTTGGCTCGGCGCACAACTTCTCGTTCCGTTGCGTTGCACCGGGTGGTCTTTTCGGGTTTCAGAGGACGGCTGATGGCTTCGGCCCGAAAGTGGGGGTTATTATTTAGTTTGCTCGCTTCTATCTCTCATCTGTTCGTTCTCCGATCCGTAGCTGTCTCCCTCTCTGTTGCTCGTGTTTCTCTTCGTTCTCGTATACGTAGTTCCTTTCTTTTCTCTTTCCCTCTTCGTTCAACTTTAACACGCATCCACACCCACGTCTATTCTCATTCTAATCAGCTCCGACGCCTTTTCTTCGGGCCTAGGCACGCATCTCTTGCTTCTCTTCGCGGCCTCTCCTGCGGTCGACGAAGCCCCAGAGGGCCCTATAGTCGCGAGCATTATTATTTTAGTGCTCTGTTCGCGTACCAAACTGCTCTGCACCACGGCGGCCAGCATATGCATCCTTCCCGGCAAACGTGTCGGTGGTCAACACGATGTCAGTCTGCCAGTGGTGCTCATGGCCTGATAATAAACTACTGTCTCTTCGGTGGTTCCTACCGTTTGCCAGCAATTTATTATACCGTCCAGGGGTTGACACCTTATTTTAATATTCGTACGCATCCCCGTCTTAGAATTATTCTTCCTCTTCCTCCTCTTCGTTTAAATAGCCGAAAGATGATAAATTTGGAGGTGTGATTTACATTGTCGTTGCAGATTTACGGGTATATTTATCGTCCGCTTAACAACCCGCCGAGGCGACGCTCAAATTAATCTGCCTGCATTGCTAAATTATTGCCGATGTGGCAAAAATTTATTAACGGAAAATGATAACATATTACCTTTAATAAATTAAGTTTGGCACCGACGATCGGCGCCGTGTACGAACCCGCGAACCACCACGCGGTTGTGGGAAAGGAAAAGTACCGGTTCGCGCTTTTGTTATCAATCACGTCCACGTGCTTCTAACCGAATCAGTATACCAATGTCGTAGAGCGTTGATTCATGGATGGGACGCATCGTGTAATGAAAATTACGATGACAACGAATCGAACCGCGCCAATCGGCTTTCGGATCGGCTGAAAGAAATCGAACGATCGATTTCGCAGCCCTAGCACGGCGAACCATTCTTCATGCATAGTTTTCTCTGGCTCAGCCAGAGAGATCGATTAGCATGCAGGCAGCCTCGATCTGATGACTGCACAGAGAAGCCGAGGCTAAGCTAGTCGCACGCGAAAAATCGTAAAATGCGTATCAAATGAAAAATCCAGGAACGTGCCGGGGCTCGTACGAATAACAAGCGATAGCCACCTCGGTAGCGCCTATAAATGGCGATTTCTTCGGTTCTCGTCCGTCTTTCGCGGAAACGTTCGCCTCGCCGACACACGGCCGCCTTTCAACGATCCAGTCCATATTTTGCGAACACCAACTCGGGGAATCAGCAGAGTAACGGCCGTAGATCTGATGCTAATGACGAGCTCAAAATACTATATATTCTTAGTGTCCACCGGATCCATATTTGCGAAACTAAAGCATCGAGAAATGCGTTTAGGGGAACTGCGGTCTAAGTACGTATTTCGTCCTATTCTTTCGACAGCAAGATCTTCTTTTTTTTTTCATTTCATTGCTCGGATCAATTCCCAAGAATAAAATAACTACCCCCGGGGTGGTTCGGTACGCTGTTCAATTTCTCCAAAACCGGATGACTTGCACAAACTTATTTATGACAAGCAGGTAAGGTAAATGGTCGTAAATTCCCAGATAAATGTTAAAGCTTCTCACGAGATTCAGAGAGACATTGTTAGGTAATATCGGACTAAGTGTACCTGCCTGTAACGTTGCGTTAAAAAGTACAAATACAGAAGAATGGCTAACACAGCGTATAGATCATGAAACAAGCGTGTACCACACGTAACGAGGATTCGATTGATACTTTCTTTCGTAACATACGATATCCCCCGATATATACACTCGTTTGCCGGTGCTTTGTAAGCATACAACACGTTAGGCGCGAACGAGGAATATCGCGTCGCATTTATAACCGTGCGAACGAAAGAAACACGGTGCACCGAACTGCGTACGATTCCGTGGCGATGTTCCGCACACGGTTCCGTCTCTGTCGTCTCATTTTCTATCGTTTAAGCGATTATCGTCAGACTGGTCTTTGGAAATACCTACGTGCACTCGCACGTCGAAGGTTCATCACGTACAGACGAATGGATAAATAGATCGGCAGGAGGACGCGACACCGGTAATATATGAGCCTGCAGAATCGAAAAGAGCCAGGGAAGAGTCGTCGAGGCGTATATATGCGCGCAGGGTGTATATAACGTGGCACCGTTTGTGTGCCCAGTTAATTACTCGCGTAGTAAATTATCGGGTAATGAGGTGCTGGGCTCGAGCCTGGGGCTTTCTCATCTTCCTTCTCCCTCGAGCGCGGTCCTTCTCGCGAGACGATCTGCCTCTCACCTCTGCGGACTAACTCTAAAGGAAAGAGAGAGAACTAATAAATCCGCCAGGGCCGTAAGGAGGGATATTGTTAGTTGTAAGGTAAATCATCTCCGCGGCTCAAAAACGGCCTCCTCACCTCGGAAGAACCCTTTGCCGCGGCCCTCCCTCCTCCGCCTTTCTACCACACTCGAGGCCTCGAGGAGACGTTTGTTACCTCCGTTACCTCCGTGCACACCGGTCTTCTACTCTACTCGTGGTACTGCAAACCATCGCCACCTCTTCCCCTTTTATCTTTCTTCTCTTCTTCTGCTTCTTCTTTCGTATCCTTCTTGCTTTCCTTCTTCGCGGTCAGTCCAGTTAGCGTCAATATGCGGACACATGGCCTCGTCATTAGCGTCATCGGATCCTTAACGCCTGCACGACCAGCCCTTGTTCGGATCCGTCCGGAGATTCTTCTATCGGACGCTTGATTTCTCGGTACCCTATTCTCTCCGATATTTCCAGCCTAATAGTGCGTTTTATTAGCTCGTTGCCTCTTTCGTCTTCCTATTATGTACTCTTATATTTATATCTGTTACAAGAAATGAAAAGTCGCGAGAAGCTGTTTAGGCGGGATTCGCGAATCATCGATAAGTCTCTGATCGTTTTGTCGATGACGTTAATTTTCTCTAGAACTTTTGTATTTCTAAATCAATAACGAGACGAAATCGGTCTGCGACTATGACATTTTTATTCAGAAAGAAGTTGATAAGAAAACGTGACATGGTGGATCAAATGTAAAACTCGAATCTAATTGAATTAGAATGTTGGAGATCTACCAGCGATATCTAGGCGATAGCGGTCGTAATGAACGTATTCTGTACGATTTATTATGGCCAGGAAATATATGGTGATAATGGCCGCGAAAAGGATATTCAATCGGTGGAATTTGAAAAAATACCAAACACATGCTCCGTACTGAAATATGTATTATATTACTAGAGTTCTGACCATTTATCAAACGGACAGGATGACACAGCGAAGCAATCATTGACACTTCTTCGTCCTCCTTTTCGTGATCAGTTAGTGTCAACACGTGAACACAAGACTTCGTCATTAGTGGGCATCAGATCTTTAACGCCTGCACGACGGCCGCTTACGAGCCGTTGTGTTCCGCGAAACGTCGTACGGTTCCTGAAACAGAAACTCGAAACATTACATGGCCATACCTTCCTTGAACGCATTAATACGTTCGATCCTTCTTCGCGATCCTTTTTGCCGGTCGCAATAATTTTCTCTAACTAACGAACCCGCGAACCGTGTACTCCATCACAAATAATTTACATAATGCGCCGTGCTTCGACGTACACGCGTTCAGTGGTGGCAAATAAAACTAAAATAACCGACGATATCTTGAGTAGTGTTAAACTCTAATAGTATAAGGTAAAATTAAATAATCAATACGTGTTACTTAACGGGCGGTGAAGACACGTCTATTATTTTCTAGGCTACATTTACAGTAGCTACGAAAAGCGTTTGCATATTATTATATTTATTTAGATAATCTATCAGATCTTAGTATGTTAAATTTCGTATCATTTACACGGTAGTATTTTTATATAACTATGAAAGTAGCCATGAAAGTGAAATGAATAAAGCCTGATAAGGAAACCCTTCGTTAGAGAAATATGCAAATATTTCTCAACGGCTATCTGAACCATGTGAGCGACCTTATTTTTGTAAATTCATGTAATTATCACGTAGAGGTAAAAAGTGTTTTGCATATAGTTAGGTTTATCCGTTGCTTGCCTTCCGGTATTGCAAAGACTTTTTCATTCTTTGCTTAATAAAACGTAATATATATGAAATAATGCTCGTGACAGCGGTGATTCGGCCTCCATCGGGCAGGAATTGATTTATGTATATCGCGATTTCGATGGAAGAGGTTTGATTCGGCAACGTAAAGGAAATATCATGGTCCGCGATCAAAGTGCATTACTAGTAGTAAGAATAATAATACTTTGCGTAGTAATTAACCTTTTGCGGTATAGTAACTTTCTTAGCCTCAGGTTTTCGCGGTCATATATATTTAATGTGTGCTATCATGTTTCCCATCCATTGTGCACTTCCTGCCACGCCTACGAACCTTTCACTTGGGTATATTCGCTACAAGTCTAATTAGATGGTTTTGTCAATATCCATTTATACTACGAATAACCCACGCAACCTGAACAGTTATGTTGTTCTCCAGTTCAGAAGTTAAAACGCGGATACGCGGTTTATTATTCATTCTTCGCGTAGCACGTAAAAATAGCCGGCACACCAACTTCAAAACTATGTGACGTAAATTCCAATTCGTGATTTCCACTCATTGTTTCTTTTCTCGAGCTGGAACATATCTCCTGGCCATTAGGTGAATTTTAAAGATCGTCTTCGATAAATTTTTAATGAACTAAAAGAAAAAAAACAATATTCAAGGGACAATGAACTACCAACTTGAACGTAAATATTACCAAATCACAGGAGAAATACGTGTGCTTGCGTCAATATCGACGATCGCAGAATTACGAAATCACATGGTTCCCGCGGTTTAATCGAATAAACATTGCAGTGAGATATCGTGTTTATTGAGCTAAGAGGAAATAAAGGATCTCATTTGGGTGGCAACGTACGGACGATCTGCGGATTAAAATCTACAAAAGCATCTGGCTAAAAGGAAAGTACCAGCCTTCAAGGCGGATACCTTACTAATGATTCGCTGGGACTCGTACATCCTCTACGCGTGACGAAGTATCTACGGTCGCTGGCGTTGTTATACTAAGAAACAACTCTCCTGCTCCGGTCATTAGCAGCACGATTGTACTGCCTTCTGTTTAACGAGCACCTTCCACGGTACGCGATGACATTATTATTTGCAATAATTTATCGTATTCCGATTCACCTCGAGGAATATCGTCGCGATCGTTTACTTCTCCTTGGCAAGAGAAGCCATTTAATTCGATTTCTAATATGGATACGTTTTCCATAATAACTTCGCATCGTAGTAGTTCGCTTTGTAATAAATCGAGGATCGCTGTGAATCTGACTAAGTCGGTCATCCACGATCTATTGTGTTTCCAATCGATACGAAACTGCAAAGAGAAAGGCATAAAAATTAATCGCCAAACATCGTACATTAAGACGCATGGAAGTCGAGACAGAGTTGATTCTTGTAAAGGATAAATAAATGTCTGAAGAACTTTTCGTATATCTGATATACCAATTCGTGATATGCAATCAAATTTAACTGCGTCAGTCGTCAAATTGTTACATCATATACTAGACACATAAGTTTTCATACAATAGCCATGGCTGGTATCAACTATGAACACATTTATCGACGGCTGATCTACGAAGCGGTAGACAAATCCTCCAAATAAGGTAGCCGAAGCTTTAGAACGAATCGGCCGCAGCATGTTAAAAAGGCACGAGCGCAAGGGGTCTAGGTTTCAGAGCTAGCCAGATTTATGGCGCATTCACGTAAATCACGAATGTCAACCGTCCGTTAACTGTCGGTTATTCGAGGCCTGTCAACCCGTAGCATATCCACCATACACGTTATAATGATTGGCTAAGCTGGCAATTACCCAGCGCTTCGGATCCGCCGAATTGTCATTCAGCTCGCGGATGCCGATGCCCGTTGTACAGCCGCGAGTCTGACTGGAATATTATACGATCCTCATAACAAAACTGTGCTCGGCCGAGGTCTTCGCTGATCCCTGTCCGCTGGTCGTCTACCGAGTCATCCCCGTACGTGGAAATACTTATATATACTTGTACGCGACCAACGTGGTATACACGATACAGGAACGCGCAGCAGTCTCAAGATGCACCTCGAAAACTTGGCTTATGGACTCGTCAGCTTGGACGCTATCAGCTCTCTCGCAGTGTGTCGAGCAACGGGAAGAGAGCCAATAGGATTGTGCTTTGCCTACTAGTGGCTGACGTTATGGATTTTTCCGGCATCACGAACCACGGCATCCATGGGAACATTCGATGAAACGCGAGCGAACTCGTTCTCACCGCTATACGATTGGCCTGACGAACGCTTTACACGGAATACCTTGGTCTATTCGATCGTTTTCGATCGCTGCGCCGCTGGAGGTCTGGAAAAGGTAGCGAGAGATTTCTACTGGTTCCGTTGCTCTGGATCGTTCTGCGCTCACTTCCTTCTCCTCGCTTCTCTGTGTGTTCCATCGTTCGTCGTTTGGTCGCGCGGGAAACCTAGACGAGCGTAAAATTTACTTCCTTGTTTCGTCATTCTTCGTGGAAACTCGATACTCGTTACTCCTTTTCCTAGATCGTTCGTTTCTAGCTAAAATTCTCGACAGACCATCGTATTCTGTTCGCACGATGATCTTTTACGATCTTACGCGCATCGTCTTCGCGATTATACTCGAGAAACCTGGCGAAGAGAAAGGAATCTGCATTTCTACTGAAATACCGACTCGAGGGTCGTCTAACCGCGAGATTCACGCGTGACTGTTAAAGTACGCGGCAACTTTGCGGATTCTCGTTCGAAATGACGCGCATCAATCGTTCCTCCGCTAGGCATTGCGCGGATAGGATATTCGGTTGCGAGCTTCCTAACGCTATCATCGCTTCGCGCGATAGCATACCGATCGAAAGTTAACAGCTGACACGTTTATGATCGTAAGAACCATCCCAGGGACTTGACCGTCGTAAAAGTCATTGCGATCGACGGGCAAAAAGTTGCACGGTGGATGATTCGTTCACGCCGCGTCGAGCATTTAGCTGTTGCAGGAAAGACCATCAAAGAGAGAAGCTCTCGGTGCCGAGAACAACGGAATCGCTCTGACGGCAGCCTATAAAATTCAGAGGATAAATGTAGATTTCAGGGCGGTGTATCGTTTGACCGTCTGTTCTTTGCCTTTCAGACACTGTAGCCATGCGAAACGCTACGTTAGGCCACGCCATGGATTTAACGACGAACAGTATTACCACGTTCTTTCGTTCGTTTAACCGTAAGGGATGTACCGTCGACAGTTTGCACGTACTCCAATGCCCGACTCGAAATACGACAATTATCCACGACCTCGAACAACCTATTCGGTACATATTTTTCCTCTCTTTGAGTACATACCGCTTTCATTTCTGGAGAAAAGATATCACAGAGCGTGCAAACTTTTGCGATAACACGACCTCGCGCCGGAAAATGAAAATAATTTCTCTGGATCCACATTTCTTTCGCCATTTTTGTGTGAGAATTTCCGTGAAAGTTTTAAATATCAAAGCTCCGAATTTACGTATACGCCTATCGAATAACAGCAAAATTTTGCTCGCTTTCATAAGGGTTAAACTTTTAAATCTAAAATACCAACAATTTTACAATTATAGCCATCGATTGTCTTGTTTCTTCGATCGAACCTTGTTTCTCTGGAAATGTTTGAATACCTCAGAATATTAAGCAACGAAACACTTTGAATATGCTGATGGATTTTCGGCTGGAAGAATCAGGCCAATTACCATCCGTCTGTTCGTCCGAGTTTAGACTGCACGTACAACGCGGCACAAACGAAAATCTCGAGGAAAGAGCAACAATCGGGAATAGCCGGGAGTAATAATAACGCTCCACGGTATTCTCTGTATTAGGGATAATTGGAGGATGAACCGCAAACGGCAGTGAGGGTATCTCGCGCGATAAAACCCTAGAGCCAGCGATGGGGGAGGGAAGGAAGGTGAAGAGGAGCGAAGGGAGAGGACAGGAGGTGGGAGAAAGCGACGAAGAAGGAAAAACGCGAATTCCACGGTGGTGGCGCGTCCGGGTGCAACGAGTGGAACTTTGAAAGCGAGTTGTACAATAAGATCCTGCAGAAAGACGGAGATAGAACCGCGTAGATAGAAACGATAGAAGGAGCGACGGAGACTACCGGGCTCCAAACTACAAAGCCTTCAACCACCAGCCACAAAACTACCATGCGAAACGACGGTAGGAAAGGAGGATCGAGAACGAGGAGGAAGCAGGAGGTTGGAGTACGATCTTGGGTGCGTAGGCAAGGAGCACCGTCGAGGCATTATCCACTTACAGGGAATTATCCTCTTTCTAGCGGGTCTGCTGCTGGAGACGCGCGCGCGAGTTCTCTTTCTCCGATCTCCCCTCTATCTCCCTCGGCTGCTCCTTCTTTATTCGGCAGCCGGAAAAATCGTGGCGTGGAATAGCCAGTACCATTGTCTAGCAGTGGTACGTACAGACAAACAGACAGAGAGGCAAACGAAGATTCAGAAACGTTTCGAACAAAGAGTCCGGTAAAGAGCAAACTAGGTTCTCTCGAAAGGGCAAGAGACTCTGGTGTTTCCCGCAGTTCATTTGAGTGTTAATCGGTGGCCATTGGGCATATTACCGGACCGGTAATACGCGCAGGTAAACCGTGTGGGTTCTTTTCCCGTATCTCTTTCCCGTTTGTCCGTTCTCGTTTCTTCTTCGAGACCTCTAATTTCTTCTTGTTGTACCTCTTCGTTGCGCTCGTTGTTCAAACTGTTCGTCGTGCAACTCGCTCCCCTTTTCCAACTATGGCTATTCTCTAGACGAGACAGACAGACAAACAGAGAGAGAGAGAGAGAGTCTTCTGATGTTTCTGGTGTGTTGCTGGCCGTGGGTCTGTTTCGTCGAACCTCGAAGCATTTCGCGGCCTTGCACAACTCCGTAACTCAAACAAACGGAAAATTCGAGCTGCCGTGCGACGGTAATCGCTTGCAATTCGACGAAATTGCCGGGTCTACGTGGAGCGAGCGCGAGCATCGTTCATTGTTCTCCTCCTTTTCGTTGTTTTGTCCGCGCGCGCTGTCCGTTTTCACATTATTCTTGATCGCGCGCTTCACTTGTTATGCCGTTCCCCTCTCGTGTTTCCCTTCGTCGACCAGAGACCAAAGGAACTGGCTGCTGCTGCTTCTGCTTTGGATACAATGATTCGCGACTGCTACCTAGGCGACTGCAAGCCATTATACGGTAGTTAAGTATAAGGGATGCGTTTTATTTCTCTTGGTACTAAGTAAGAGAAAGTAATGCCATCCGAAGGGGGACTAACTCGCTTTCGAGTCGGCGAGGAACGAACCTCGAAAAGACAACGAACACGAACGTAAAATTGCGACTAATTTACATACATATCGATATATACGCATATTATTTATGACCGGCGTTAATTTAACGCGAGCTCTCAAAGTGCTTTCACAGCGCGAGACGCGGTTAGAAATTGAGACAAGTTGGAAGAATTCTACTGAACAGACCGAAGAATTTGTTCTTGCAATCTTACGGTCCGTGAGAAAATTGAAAGTACATTATAATATCACAATAAAGAATATTAGTTGAAAATCACGTTAAAGAAGTTTATATAGAAAAATATGTATTTCTAGGTACAAATTTTTAATTTTCCCTTGCTTTGCGAATTTTATCAGTTAAATCGTTTCACAGGTTATGCGTTTGCATAGACAATCTGTTACATCGTAACTAAACTTTCATTACACGTATGAAGTATGAAATGCTTACTGCCAATTCACTTGATGTTTGATGTTAATGTATCTGAACGTTTTGCCATTATAGAACCTGGAGAACGTAAATGATTTTTGCCTCTTCAATTTTACGATCAGTATCCACGAACAAAGCGTATAAATCTTTCTAATAAAACGTAACTTAAACCTAACTTGCTGCACTAAGATTTTACGCATATCTAATCTTCGATTCCAACAATTTTCTTTCAACGTACTGCATGCTTTTAAGAATAATATATATTTATTAACATGGTTCATCGAGCGATCGAAACGGACGCTAGAGAAGAGCTGGTCGCATAAAAATCCTAATATCCGATTCTAGGAAATTACGAGGGAAATATCGCGACCATCCGAATTCTCAACACCTTGTTCCCGATAGATAACGACTCCATTGAGCCGAATTCGGGCTGGGCGTATCGGGAGCCAGACGCAAATGGACACGGATAATTCTTACGGGTCGGACAGGTATACGCGCAATCGTGGGCACGAACAATCTCGTGGTATGCCTTCATGGCGTGGGAGTTAAAATCCACGCACGCATAAATTACGTTCGTACGTACGATCGACGATACATGTTGGCGTGCACGCACACACGACCATCGACGATCGTACAGCGGTGCACAGAGGGTCGAGAGAGTCGGTCGAAACGCGCGATAAGTTAAGCGGTTCACGTAGTCGCCGGTAATTATGGATGCGTTTAAGTCGTGGCAGTTTGGGAAACTAAATAAAATAATATACGTGAGCCGAGGTTTTTATTGCCGGATTAAGGGCGCCCTGCGCGTCGCTGCGTGTCACAGCCTTATCCGTCCGCTCGATCTCGTCTTCCAGTCCAAAAAGAATAAAAAAAGAACGAAGATGGAAAACGAGAAAAAAGAGAAGAGAGAGAGTACATATATATTTCTGTGGTCATCGCCTGCCCGGGATGCAATGGAGAATATTTAATATAAGGGTGCGAGATGAACAGCTTCGAGCGCAATGTCAGCGACTTGAGTTTAAATACTTCCGGATGCACCCTGCTGCTCGAGGGATTACTCCGTGTTTGCGTCGGCTACGTCTAATATCGCAAGTTCGGCGACTGATGCCAGCTGTCGTCACGGTTTCCTTTTACGAAATATTCCTTACGACGATTCGCACGACCGATCTTTGTCTCGAAACATTGTTCCCTTTTCGACCGATTTTTCCCGTTGGAGCGATTTCGATAGAAATAATTCGCCTTGCGGTTAATCACAAGAATAGTCCCGTGGACGGGGACGCGGCTTTTCAGTGACAATACCCAAAGTGCGTGTTCAAGAGCGCGTGAAGTCAGCGTTACGAGGCATTGGCAATTTATCGCGATACCCCTCTCCTTTCGTTCGTTCTCTCGTTCCGCGTCCCGCGTCTCTCCACTCTGCTCTTTGCAGTAGTTGGAGAGCTGCTCCTCCGGCATTGCAAAAGGAGCTACGAGAGCGGCGCGACCGCAGCAACGCCGGTTATTATAAAACAAAAGACGATGCTTGATGCCGATAATAAAGAAGAGGTACGCGCTTCGAACAACGTTAAAAGGTGGGACAGAGAGGGAGGCGGCCGAAACAGGGCGAGGAGGGAAAGGACGAAAGAAAAGCGATATCCTCGAAGGTAGCGGGCGCGAAGGATGTGGTTCCACGCACTGCGATCGACTTAATTCGCGCGCTCCTGACTCTTTTTCCTTCCAAGTGGTCTCTCTTCCCCTCCGGTTAGGTTGGATGTCCTCCTCCGGCTTCCACCTCCCCCTCATCGCTTTCTTATTTAGTACCCCATCGCCTCTTTCTATCTCCTTCTCTTTATCCCGTTCTCTGTCCGTTTCTCGTAGCTGACCACCTCTCTACTGCTCCTCCATCACTGTTGGCAGCCCGCTTACCGCCAATCATCATTTTCAATTCTCCGTGGTGGAGCGCCTCCACCGTCTTCCACTGTTCTTCTCCTCGTTCTGCCCGTGGTCCCTTTCTTCCTTCCTCTTGTCTTGAATACGTGGCCCGTAAAAAAACGTTGGGAATATTATTCCAGAGATCGAGGAATGGACGGCCCGGGGGAGGCACGGTGTTCGCCGCGTGCTACGATTTGACGTCGAGACAACACGTTTCTCCATTTTGCTATGTTTGGGAGGAACGGACGTGAACAGAGCGGAGCCTGAACTGTGGGCGGGATGCCAGACCCGCGTACCTTACGATTTCAGGCCGTCGAGATATCATTGATTTAGGTGTTTTTTTCGACGACAAGTGCTTTCTCCTTGATTGTGGCCCCTTAATCTGTTTAATGGCGAAGTAACTCAATGGAAGACTCGGATAAACAACGGTCTTTTAATTCCAACGCATCTTCGTTTTTATTTCTCTGCGCGTTTTTTTTACATTTCACCAGTGCACGCCGAATAACGGATGCGGCTCCTCCGATTCCTACCTTCTCGTAACAATTATCCGAAGCGTTTCGAGAAGGTTTTATCGCTGCTCCGACTCGTAGCCTTCTTCGGGATGTACGTACCAGTTAGACTTCTCTCGTATGTGTAACAACCCTGTTTCACGTACGGGATCGTTAGACTGTATAAAGAGATTCTGCGAAGCAAGTGGAAACAAACGAACCTTTCGTACGTTGGCGCATACGAGCAAGGAAGGAGGGACTTGTTTGACAGAGTTGGAATCTGTGAAACGTTTAAGAGCATCTTCAAAGGAGTACGAATTCGCCTTCTCTCGTGCCGCTACTCTTGCAAGAAAAATAGGTATATCCTCGCACGTGTATCCTGCTACCATACTATATATCACTACCATCTTTCAGTCAGATGCTTTACGATACCAAAATTCTACCGTTTCATCATCTTCAAACCCACTGGCCTCCGATATACATCCATAAATCCAACTTCCTCTTTCAATTCAATTAATCCATTTACCAGTTAGCCACGATACCGGCGTTTAAAACACTTTCGCGAGCTCATGACCGAGTGAAACCCTCGCGTCGCGATAAATCAGGGCGACGTTATTAATACACCGGCGAGCCTTTGGACTCCACCCTGGGGAGCCAGGGCTCACGAGCGAGAAGAGTCGGGCGTATCGCAACATTGGCGTGCACAGTCGCGCGCGATTTCTCTGTAAGATTGCCTGCTTATGCCCGGTTCACACTTGCAACGGAGACACAAAGTCACTCACCATTGGCGGATCCTGTGCGACCGCC